AAGGGTGATTTTGGGTGGAAGAATCGCCGAAAAAAGGGCAAAAAATGTCAGAGACGCCGTCTACCGCCCATGTAAAATGACCAATTTACCCTTTTACCGTTACATCAAACATTTTTCCGTCACTTTAAGGTTGAGAATCTGGAATAAATATAACCTGGGGTACCAACTTAAGATTTCATCAAACCTTGGGTGGGAATATGTTGTTTACTCTAACGAAATTAAATATATAACATAAAACTCGAGTATTCTAACATCAAATTTGAAACTATAAGAACTTGTTAGAAAAGACATTTAAATTGAAACAAGTAACATGTTACTTGAAACATTTAACATTATGAAAATCTTAAAAGATAGATTGATATTATTAACATCAAATGTGAATTTTTTTACATTACACTTGAAATGAAAAGAGTTTGACTCTAAAAACCAGAAATTCAAAGCTTAAAACATTGCACTTGAAACTTTTACAAAATTATTAACACAAAATTTAATTTATTATTAATAAAATCATTTTCTTCATCTAAAAAAATTAAAGCTAAAATTAATTTTAAATTTATTATTTTGAATAAAAATTTAATTGAAAAAGAAACTAACCTATATGAAATCTTGAATATACGCAACATAAAACATGAAATTATCAAAACTTGAAACTAAAGACCTGGTATTTTCTAAATCATTATCTGCTTGCTCCTTCTGAAAATTAATTTACTAGCACTTGGCTTCTGTAGGATGAAGGATGAAGGATGAAATTTTTTGGTGGGATGGATTGGAATAATTCATCAATAAGAATCTTTGCCTTTTCATTTTCTTTACATTATAAGTTTATAACTTGTCCTTTTCTCATGAAAAATAAAGGTCGTGAAGCTGATGATTATATACATGGGAGTAAATGTAAAGAACTGTAAAGGTTTGACAGCTTTGGACATTTACGATCGCAGCCGAATCCAGAGGTTGGGAAAATTCTACTTGATTCTAAAGCTAAAAGAGCTTCTCCACTCCATCATATTCCTGATCCTGATCATAACTTGAGTAGCAACTTCTACTTCAAAGGAAAAACCACTTCTTGGACTTTTCACTGTCCACTGTGCAAATGTCTTCTGCATTTTCCACTTAGGTTGAATAGCATATAGGATAGATTATCCCATCATTTGTTCATCGTATATAGACATATCCTAAATAAAGTTACCATCATTTGTATATAAATTTCACGATAAAGAAGTGTAACGTGACATTAATGTACAAGATGATCTTTTAATATTACAATCAAAATTTATTTATTATCTAATTACTGATTGTACGAAGTAGGTGGTTGTTATCCTAATAATTTGGCTATTAAATTAATAATTACTCTTTAAGTTATTGAAACAGTTCAATACTTTTTGTTAATTTAATGAAGAAAGATACATCAGATAAATCTAACATCAACAATAAATGAAGATAGATACACCAACTGGAAGTAAGATTACAATGCCTAAGAAAAAACTTCAAAGAAATTAAAGAGATGATATTATATAAGGGGAAAAGGTTTGGTTGGAAACCATGCATATAGAAATGAATCACATGATTAACAGATAATTGGCACTAGCAAAGTAACTATATAATAATCTTGAACTAGTGCATGCACCGATTGTGTAACTGAGTTATTAATCTTGAATCCTACTCATCACTTTGTCTTATAAACATTCATAAATAGACCAAATAATAGAAGGAGGAGGTAATTAAGGTAACATTAATTCCATCCATGCTTGAGTTATTGTGTTATTGCAACTATAAGACATAGACAACTCATAAATGATAATCTTTCTCAAAACTATTTGTTATCTAACTACTTATTGTACCAAGGTAGTTGTTATTTATTTATTATCAACGTTTATCATACTGATCACCAACACCATTTAATATCATGTCGTTTCATTTTCTGTCCATACATCCAACTAATTTATTTCCTCTATGTACAAATCATGAAATCTAATTTATTTGTAATGCTTTGACTTAAGTCAGTGAATATTATATAATGTAGTTTTATGATTTTCTACTTAAATTCAAATTTGAAATCATCTTTTGATTTTCTGAGATTTCTCCGATACTCTTGATAACCAAACACACCGTAAGTCACTTAAAAAAAAAAAAAAAAAAAAAAAAAAAAAAAAAAAAAAAATCAATGGAAGTCATCTTAGATCTTCTGATATTCTAGTTATAGTCATTATTTTCATTTTGTTATGACATTAACATGTAAACAACAAGAAAAAAGATAACTAATATAAAAATATCACATCACATCCAATTATAAAAGAACTAACAACAAACGCTTTAAAAGCACAATATTTATGGGATGGTCCTGCATGGGCAAAAATCGTCTTGGGCCTGACGAAGCCTAATAACAAAATAAACATGTCACGACCCAACGCCTTAACATAATTCCGATTGGGTTACGCTTAAAGTTACCTTGTGAACTATCCATTCTATCAATTGTGCTATCCTACAAGTTAAGTTAAACTGTGTTCCGGCCCATTAGCCTACAATAGTCCATAAATAGAAAATCATAATCATATTCTATTTTCTCTTCTGCTGAGATTCTGAATCTTACTCAAACTAGTCAATTTAATTTGACAAAGACAAGAAATCTTATTTATTTCCTGATAGGGATTATATCCCAAAATAGGGTGTCCTATTAAGATTTCAACCCCTTGGGTTCACTATAAAAATAGAGGTCTACCCTCTCATTATTCATGCAATCTCCAATATTCAATATCCACTACTCAAAATCACCCACTTGCTCCTAAATTCTTGCCCCTGATTCGTCGTGGCCTTGGCCTCCGACAAGACTCCTAGTAATCTTTCTTTCCTTGATTCTCATTAAATCATCTCTTTCAACCTTGTTGACTGGAGCATTGGAGTGCCTACGACAAACACTACCCTAGTGTTTTCCATAAGCTTCACGCTTGTCTTTTCACGTGTGCATGTATAGCAAATTGTCAGTGGCCTCAACCTCACGGGATCAGACCCTATTTCTGTAACAATAGATTTTTTGCATCTACATGTCCTATCTTCCTCTTGTGGTGAGAACAGGAGAGAGCAAATTCCAAATGCTAGCTGTTAACTGAAAATAAAAGAATTTAAAGATGACACTTGTAATTACCTAATTCTTTAGGCCCCTAAAAATGAAAGAATTAGCTTAAAAATAACGATAGCACACGACTATGCATTTATGGTTGATAAACAAGTCTCAATCATAAAAACTTGATTTATAAAGTTTGAAGGAAAATCTCAAAATCATTATATATCCTCAAAGGAAACGAATAATGTTTATATAGGGTGGAGACTGGAGACAACCAACTCTAACAAGACTCTCAAATAAACAAAGAAATGAAATCTAAATTAATTAAAAGAAGTCATAACTATTGACAAATTATAAAATAAGAAATGGCTCTAAATAAAATAAGAAAAACGCACAGAAAACTTAAACGGCCTTGAAACACGTCAAAACAGTGGGTTTTGGCCTAGAAAAAGACCCCCAACCGAAGTACTAGGTTGATCATGACGTCAGGCTCAAAACAATTTTTTCTTTGATATCTTATAGGCCTCATAACTCCTCCCAAATCAAAAGTTATAGCTATCTTAAGTTGGCATGCACATTTAAGACATTTGGACCACGCATTTAGGTTTCTAATGCTCAACTCTTTCCAAAAATTTATCTATTGGACGTTCTGTGTCACCATTAAAGACTATTAAAGAGTAACTTCAATTCAGAATCCTTGAACTGGCGTAGGGTAGGCACCCTATCCCAACCTGTGTCTCTGCCCCCACGAAGTTATGGTCAGATAATGGAGGACGGCTGCTAAAGCCACTCAAGTTATGACATAAATGTTTTTTAGTAAGACTTTTTTAAGGGTGGTGGTTGAGATGATATTGTTGGTTTTGTACTTATAAACCTTGTTATTGATCATGGAAAAAGATGCCATCTTATTATTCTCTTGTAGGAAAGATACTTGGAGAATTAAAATATGTTTATATTGGGTTAATTATTATGACTGATGTTTTGCAAGAATATTTTGTGTTGAAGGTATCATAATGAAGATCTTAACATGGACCATTTTTTTTTATGATCAATGTGTTCAGACCAGTTTATACATATCTCAACTAATCCTTAGAATTCATTGAATACCTTACAAACTCAATGTTCCGAGGTAAACCACAAATATGGTCGGCAGTCCCAATAAGTCATTAAAGAGAACAAACTTTCGTGACCCCAAAAAGTCAATGAAGAGAACAAATTTTTTTGACCGTTAGGCCAAACCCTTAGAGTTTAACATTGACCATTTTAATAGCAATGTTCATTGAATATCCTTAGAGTTCATTGAATACCCTACAAACCCAATGTTCCAAGGTAAACCACAAATGTGATAGGCGGTTCGAAGAAGTCATTGAAGAGAACAAATTTTCGTGACTCAAAAAAGTCAATGAAGAGAACAAACTTTTTTTACTGTTAGGCCAAACCCTTAGGGTTTAACATTGACCATTTCAATAGCTGTAAATTGATGTTAATAATAGGCCTATAATTGAGCTCATTTTGGGCCACATAAAGCCCGTCCAATCTGATAATGGAAAAAGCCTATAATTAGTCATTTTTGTGAGTTTTTTAAGTCTTTAAGTGAGGGAATTCAATTTCAATGTGGTAATTCAATTTTCTATACGATACTACAACGGAAATGCTAAATTCGGATCTTGATACTTGATAAAACTTAATATGTTCAACCTCAAAATGTATTCAAAAAAGAGATTAAATGAATATGTAACTCGAGCAATCCTAAATATGAAGAATTAGATCCTAAATATATCAAAATTTTGTGAAATTAATGGTCAAAATTTAGTATATTAAACCGTTTCTATATATGAATCTAGAATTGTGGAAGGGTCAAGATTGTGTAACTACTTTAGACATATATAAAACTAGAATTGAGGATTTTCTTATAATTTTTGGCTAAATATCATTCTCATTTCCCCCTTTTGATCTACCAGGAAACAAGTGACTCATACAAAATTGAGAGTTAGATTTACAACTGGTTGATAAATAGTCCTCACGGAAGCTTTATCATCGATCATGACCAAATTCTTTCTTTCTTCATATTAGGTTGGTTAATTCATGGATGAGACTCTGCAATTATTTATCTTCTAACTCATTGTAATCGCATTGCAATAAATATAGGCTAATTGATACACTCCCTTGGCAGCTCAGTGAACCGAGCTACATCCTTACAATAATCATAAACCATATGCTTTCTGCGAACCCACTTGAGTTGGTGACTCTGGTGCTTATTCAGCTCTCTCACAGATGGCTTATCCCACCAGAACTGCCGTGATACACCACATTTGGCTTCCACGTCATCGGTTTCCGGCGACAACTCGCAGGCATCTATTTCAAACGATCTAAAGGTTGAAACAAATGGGGAGTGGCTCCAGTTTGTCCTGACTCTCCCTCCCTGTGTAGCCCAGTCATCAGCATTCCACACTGACCCACGGATTGACATGGCTTGACTCTTTGGGTAAACCACACCGTTTTCTTCCTTGTTTGCAAATACTCTCATTGGAATCCCATCTACCAGAAACCTGAAATATTAGACATGTAGTTCAATTGAATTTACCATATAAATAGACATGAAAATGTTAATGAAAGCATAAGGAGAGCATCCAAAAATGCTTGGCAGGTGATGGAGGAGTAATTACACTTTGTAGCGGCGGTTCCAGAACAAGGAGTATGTATGAAAATCCAGTGTAGGATCAAACCAAAGTGAATGTCTTTGTTCTCTGTTTCCACTTCCATTCACGTACACATTTGTTTGAACTAGATATGGTTCCCCGGAAACATTACCTAGAAACTCAAAGTCTAGCTCGTCGTGATTTGGCCCTTCCGATGACATCTGTGAATATCAATAAACACATTATATCAAAAAAATTACAAAGAAACATATCATAAACAGAAGTAATTAACTTACATAGAAGGCTGTGACAGTTCCTGCAGAATCACCTTCAACTAGTTTGATCTGCATACTTGCTTTCCCAAACAAGTACTTGCTTCTAGATTCAAACCCACAACCTGCAACCAATTATTCAGACTTCTCAGCAACAAAAATAGAAACAATAACGAATAAAAGTCATCTAAATTATAGCTAAACCATACATTACCAGAAACAGTGTCTAAGGATAAGTTAATGTGATCTCCTTCAGTGGCAATGTGATCAGGAGCCCAAAGAGGTTGAAAAAAATCACTAAAATTGGCACAAAAGGCTACATTAAGAAGCATAGCCAAGCTCATTACAAACGTCAAAGGACACTGCTGAGCCATTTGTAACTTGATCGACAAAACAAACACAATCGAGGTAGGACAAAATCTTGAAGGACGAGAAAATGGGGTTTTTATAGGCATAGGCGTTGATCAACATGAGTTTGAGGAACTCATGTGAGTCTGATCATGGATGAAATGGACCCTGCAGAAAATGAAATAGAAGAATTGCAGAATATGCACTGTAGTGGAGGCTCAATGCATGGCGATGGTGGTGGCCACATAAGCAGCCACTTTGGGGCGGCACCACTACGTTGAGAATTAATCCAAAAGCTGGCCGCCCATCCATCAATTTGTAAGTAAATTAAGACACAAATGAGTTGTCGTCAACTTTATGAAGGAATATATATACTTTTTAATCTGTGAACATACACGCACTGAAGGCATCCTTTGGTCAGATACTTAGAGCTAACTTAAACCTGATAAAATCATGTTTGGGTTGATTGGACAAGACATGAATTTTACTATTTGATGCGAATCTTTTAGTCAAGTGCAGAACCATAAGAGCAAAATTGGGATTCTTTAGTGTATTAATGGAGATTAATTAACATTAATTTTAAAACCAGATATAGATTACAATAAACAGATATGGTCATACTAGATTAGCTATATAATCCGAATCAGAGGCTTACAAATTGTACATACTGTTGTGATCTCATTTGATAATAATGAGTTTGGTCTTTGTTTATAAAGATATTAAAAAAAAAAAAAAAAACATGATTGGGTAATATAAACAATTTACATATAAATAAGGATGTCCTTAATTTTTTACGTATAAATGAAGACGTGTTTGATATTGTACATCAAAGGGGGGATTATGTAATATTTGCATCCAAAGGGGGACTTAGATTTACATACAAAAGGGAATTTTTTGATATTTTACAACCAAAGGGGACTTGTCAGTATTTTACATAAAAAGGAGGCCTTGTGTCAATATTTTACATAAAAAGGAGGCCTTGTGTACATCCTATGACCTCCTTGGTTCACTATTATTACCCCATTCTCAAGGGCAGATCCAACCTAGCATGGCCCACCCTTAATTTTTTTTAAATACTACTATGTATAATTTTTAGATTTCGTCCACCCTATCAAAAATATTAACAGACAAAAATATTAATGTGCAATTAGTTTTTATTTTGACCGATCTTAACATAAATTTCTAGATCCGCTGTCATCTATCATATTCTACTATCCTATCCTAAAAACTCAAAAATACATTTGTTTTAATATTCTCAAAATCTAATTATACTTTATTCAACTAACAAAACATTAATAATTATCTTTCTCATAAAAATAACTCAACTTTAACTTCTCCAAAATACATAAATGAATGACTTGTGTGATATTTTAGATCTACATGAGGACTTTTAAGATATTGTATATTGAAAGGACAACTTATGTGAAATTTTAGATGATACCATGTACTTATAAAACATTATACTTATTATTGGGGATAACAATAGATATATCATACGTTATTATGGGTGCATATGATATTTAGCATATGATTTCGTGTTAATACGATATTTAAAGAAAATGCTTCTTTTTTTTTTTAAGCCCTTCAAAAAATTTCTAACATAGTTGATAATTTTTTTGTCGTCTCCAGGTGTAACAACAAATTACCAAACTCAAGGACAGGCAAGTGCAGTATGTCACGCGGTTGTTTCCTTCTTCATCCTCCCATTTTAGGATCCCTTCTTTGTCGAAGCGTTGAATCCATTTAGTACACTTTCAAGCTCTACGACTCCCATTTTGACGGCCACATGGACAGCAGTTTCACCTGTACTGTCAATCTCTGATAGATGAAGGCAAACATACAAAAATCAGCAAAATTGGAATCATCGTCTATTTCAGCTGCGTAGTGCAAAGGAGTAACCAACCCCTTTGATTTGACACGGACAAGCTCACTGTCAATTTGTATGAGCCATGTTACCAGTTCCTGGTACTTCCCCTCTAATCCAATCAAGGGCCACGCCATTCCATTTCCTGTAGTTCTCTTCCAAGGCCAAATGAGGGGATTACTCTTTCAGTACCTGGGCTTCCCCTCCAAGCCAAATGAAGAGGCTACGCCCCAAGATGGTCTCGCTTCCCAGCAAATGATGGCTTTAGGTTTACTTTTCCATGGCAAAATGGATCTTTCCCCTGCTTACAGCTGTGTGTAGTGGAGTCACTCAAAAATGCTTTCTCATCAAAGCGCTCCAAACAAGAGGTTCATCCGCAAGTATTGTAATAATGCTTGCACATCTTCATCTGCGGCAGCACGCTGCAGCCTTTGCAACCTCTCCTCCGCGTATTAAAAATATGCCTCCACATCTCCTTCTTCGGCAGCGCGCTGTAGCCTCGAAACCTCTCCTCCGTGGCTTTCTTGCAACCTCTCGTCCATGATCTAGGCTCTGATTTACAATTTAGCTTCGGTTATAGAAGTCAAATAACAATTTTAGGGCTATAATGGGGAACATATAAACCATTTATCATATATTTATAGGGAAATTTAGTATGGTGAAACCTCACTCAAGAGTTTCTCTTTCTCTCTCCAAGAGAAACTCTACTTTCTGATGTCATGAACTTGACATCAGCTTCATTAACCAGTGTAAAGCATAATAAAAGTCGACACAGCTCCATCATATTGAGTGGCTTTAGCGGCCGTCCCCACACTAACCGACCATAACTTTGTGGGGTAGAGACACGGGTTGGGACAAGGCGCCCGGCCCCGTGTTGACGGCGACATGAGGCGGGGCCAGGCTCGTTAGATTTTTGAACGTCTGCATCAAACCCTGTTTGTGGCACGTGCGGGTCGTGCACACTCTGATCTCTTTCAACTCTGGTATGACTTTGATTCCGCCATTTTATCTGAGTCTCTATTCTTCCAACTTTTTTCTCACTCACTCGAACGAATGAATGGGCTGACACTGTTGACTAGTTGATAAATAGTTTTACTCCTACATGGACACTTTCAAATTTCTATAAATAATTTACTTCAAAAATATCGGGTTAGTATGAGTTCTCACGACTCTAGATTCGGACGTATTTCAGAGATGACACACTACTAGCCAAGAGTTTCGGCTGCATCCGAATCAAGTGAACATGGTCCGGACGTGTCTAATTGTTTTAGCCCATACAATAACATTATAATGTTACTGAGGATCTATTACAATGTAAAAGAAAAAAATTATTAAGAAAATCAAATCCAGTAAAACTTGCAGAATAGAATGATATCACATCTTCGTGATGATGGTGGTAATAGTCAATGACGAAATTAGGATTCTGCTTCAGGGGGTAACTTAAGGAAAAAATTAGAACATAAATTTTTTTTGATTAAAAATACAAAATATTAACCGTATAGATTAAACACACAAGATATAGATTTATTTTTTTTTTATTTTATTGAGTAATGAAGATAATTTCGTGAAATAAAGAAAAAATCAATTTCGAATTATTAACAACAATGGTTGTTTTGTTATTTTACTATATATTCAATAATAAAAGACAAAAAAAAAAAAAAAAAAAAAAAGAGGTTAAAATATTTGGGGTTTCAAGGTAAAAAAAGTGTGATGGCAATATGGATTGATACTTTTCATAAAATAAATAAGGTGTTTATTTAAATCACATAGTACAATGTTACTATTTACATTCACAACCTCTAGTGCTTTGGGTAGGTACGATGGCACAATTAATTGTAGATGTGGATGATTTTCAGCTAAAGGTGAACAAATGGGTCGGTTAGGCGGATCACCTAACCCAGCCCATTAGAGAGGGTTCAACCGACCGCCTTCCCACGGGCAAACCGGGTTGCTATTTTGTTTCAATAGCCAACCTGCAGGTTGGCCCAAAAAAATTATAAAAAATTATAAAATAAAATTAATTATTTTTTCAAGTTTCCCCCAGTTTTTTAGTTCTTTAATTAACTATTATTATTGATTCTTACAATAATTTTAACTAATATTAAACTATACTTCTATTATAAATATTAAATATAAAACTTCGTAATATTTGACATATTGTTATTATTATTTTTTATGATACGTAAATAAAAAAAATTAATACTAATATCTATTCTCAAATTTCCATGTCTTGTATAAATATAATCATTCTTCGCTAAAGTTTCATCAATGAATGAATAAATCTAATTTTTCTTATATTACAATTTTTTGTGTTAAATTGAATTATATTTGAAATGTTAACAAAAGAAAAATTAATTGAATTGAATTATTGATATTTGAAAAGTTAACTAAAAACAATTACATTTATTCATTTATAATTGTTTATTTATTATTTGAAAAGTTAACTAAATAAACAAAATAAAATAAATAAAAAAAGGCTAACCCGCCTGGCCGCACCTAACCTGGCGGGTTAGGTTGGCGGGCCGGCTGGGCCAGCCAATCCCCAAAAAATGGCGGCCTAACCTGGCCTGCTTTTGTTGGCGGGGGGGTTGACCGACCCCCGCCAAAATGAGTACCCCCGCGGTCGCGGTCCTTCTAGGTTTGAATAAAGATACACACTCCCTACAGCATCTATAACTTTTTTTTTTTCCCTTTTTTTCCATCCTCTTCTTTTTCTCTTCCTCCTTACTCTTCATCTCCTCTTTGTTTGGAAGATTGTAGCATATCTTTTCCTCTTTTTCTAACTATTTTCTCACCTAAAATCACCCCACCACCAGCCTTGAAACACCCACGCTCTCCTCTTCACACCAACCCTTTATCCCTCTCATCACTTGCCAAGCGCTAGCCAGGCAGCCGCATTAATGACTGTCCTTCTTGTTTTTGACCATTTTGAGCGACGACAACCCACCACACCCTTGACTCACCACTACTCCTTTACAAAACCCCCAAAGTTCCCAAGCCATTACCACCCATCACTGGCAATCATGGCTAGGATTTTGCTGTTCTTGGCCAAATTCGGACGATTTCGATGACCAAAACTCAATCTGACACCACCTCCCAACTCACCATGATCACCCTTCAACCCCCTAACCTGATTCTTGTTTGCCTAGAATGCCAATCGAGAGCCCCTCCAGCCACCATGATTTGGATTGTTGTGGTGTGGGATTGATAGAGTTTCGATTGATTTTTATTAGTTTCGCTTCCTGGTGTTGTGTGTTGTTGTGTTTTCCTGGTTTGACGGCGTACCTATTGACTAACTTTGACCATGAAAATTTGGGAATTTGAGTTAACTTTTTGGGCAGAAAATGGTTGGAC